TGTTGAATAAAGGATGAAATCAATATCAACCAGCAAATTCATCAATATCCCTTTGACATAAAGCATAAGCGTGTCTGTGGTACAGCCAAAAGAAAGACAAACTCAGCTCCCTTAATTTCTTAGACCTGTTCCTTAATTTCTAAGTCCACTTAAACTTGTGACTTGTTGATTAACTTGCACATAGGGTGGGCTTGTATATGGCGTGCACTGTGCGTGGGTATGTGTACACACTATTGACTAAGTCACTCACTGGCCTGGGACCTCCCTGAGTCAGGCTAGGCTAGTGATTAGAGGTTTTCAGGATCCATCCTCTCCTCCTCTCACATGGCCACAGACCAGACTCTAAGCACAGGCCACTGTGCCTGGCTTATGTGGGTTCTGATGACTGAACTTGGGTCCCCACACTTGTGACTGACTGACTTACGCCCTAAGCTATCCCTGCAGGCCCAGTTAACTAATTTTAATTCTTGAAAGTCAGGGCTCTCTTCAAATCAGGAAATCCTTTAAAATTTTTCATAAGCAATTTCAGTATCAGTATACCTTCAGAGAGTTAACAACTATTAGATGTTAGATTAAGAATCACTGTGATTAGTAAAGCAGCCAGAGCATGATCAAGGCTAGACGCACACTCTTCCAAGAGACGAGGATGCTGAGGAATTAGGTTTCACAGACAAGCATGCAATTTCTACTCCGGAGACAGCGTTTCTCCGCTGTCTTTCTTTCTACTTTCAAGAGCTCAAAACTATGTATTGAACATTTGCTGGATTAAAATAAATTGAGCTTTAGAATCAAGGTTGAGATGTGCTGGCCTTGTCCTCCCTGCAGGACCCCTGTGGGACAAGGCTAGCCCTGTACACCTGAGGCTAGCACCCCCCCTGAGGTGACAAGCACTGCAGATGCCAGCAGGTGGGAGGGGAGGTTCCAGCTCCTCCTCATCACTGTGGGTAAGTTGGTGGTTCGAGTCCTGACTCATCCGTTGTGTGAATCATGATGCCACTGCCCTGTGCGACCCACATCTCTAGTTCTGCTGCATGCAGCATGCACATTTTAAATATTTATGAAAAGGCCGTTTCTTCTCCTCATGGCAATCAATAATTACTTTTTAAATTTTGTGTTAATTTTGTTTCTAGTAACTCTCATCTTAGTGCAAAGGAACAATGTGTGAAGCTCAAATTTCCTTGTGGACCCAAGGTTGCTTGCTTAGACGGTGGCCCACAGGAGACCAGTGCTCATTGTCCACAGCCCTGTCTGAGAATTAGACACCCGTGTACACAAAGCGTTTTATGGACTCCTAGTATAGAAATGAACTTTTTTGTCATCCCTACAGCTCTGCCTCTCCTTTACTTCTCTAGAAATGAGAGCTCTAGAAACAAGCTACAAAAGCAGCACTTGTCTGGATTTCTTTTATTCACAAGAGAAACGCAACGCTCTGTGTGTCTGCCCAGCTGAGACCGGTGCCAAGGCAGCCATCCTGCCTTTCAGGAGGGGTTAAGACACTGGGCCCTTCATATTCCCCAGGTATATCTTATCATTTTCATTGGGAAAGTAGGAGTTGTTTGTTTCATGTCTTCCATCACATAGAAAAATTTCTACCAATTATGATAACAGCTCTCCTGGTAGCAATGCCTTAAACAACAAGTAACATAACAACCAATATTAATCTATTATTTATAATAAATAATGTATTTGTTAATAAAAGGTATTATTAGAAAGTCAGTAAGTCTCATGTTATTCAAATGATTCCATAAAATTTTTAGTTAAAACAATGATAAATATGTACATATTTTTGTTGATATTTAGCATCTATAAATTTTTGTTTTCTATGATTTCTTATAAACATTTCAAAGACTGAAAATATGGAGTGATGATAACCTACAGGCTAAGGTCAAGAGGCGTAGATGGTAGGCACATTTGATTACTAATTAAAGTTATCTAAGATCTTTGAGTTTATATAGGAGCAGAAATTCAGATGCGACCGTAGTCAGCTGGTGGCAGGAACAGAAGAGGCCTGTGAGACGCCCTGGGAAAGAAGTTCCCAGAGAAAGTATGAAGGTAAACCCTCCTGATAACTCTGCCTCTAAAAATAAAGACACTGTGTTCTTCATTTTACTAGAGAAGTAGAGGAGAGGCAGAGATGTAGGGATAAAAGAGAGATACATAATATTAGCAAAGTACATTTCTACACTAGGAGTCAATAAAACGCTTTGTGTACACGGGCAGTCTCCTGCTGGTGTCTAATTCTCTGACAGGGTTGTGGACAATGTACACTGGTCTCCTGTGGGCCACAGAAACTCAAGCCTGCTTGTTTTTCCACCCAAGGAAGATGATGGCTGCAATAGAATAGACAGTCACAACATTGATTTGTTTTTACACAGAGCACGTATTTGGGGGAGTCCATGTGAGTGCTGCAACCCACCGGTGAACAAGAGCCAAAAATCCAAGGTGTACTCAAAATCGATGGGACCAGTGGGTAGAAGAAGGAAGGAGACTTCCTTGTATTGGCTCACTCTCATGTAAAACTCCCATTAAGACGTCTTGGGCTGCCAAACTGACATCACCGAGTACAGAATTAGAAGGGACGTGCACAGTTATCTCAGTGAACCTGTGTGGACTGGTTCCAACAAGACACTCAAAAATGTTTCTGGCCAAGTACAAAAAGCCTGTCCTGATGAGAAGAGAGAAGCAACCTACCATACCAGCCATGCACTTAGTGAGTCAAATAAAGTAGGTGTGGGGGAGGGGAAAGAAAGGCAGAGAAACTGGATGGGCAGTGGAGAATCTCAAGGGAACAGTTTTAGGGTGCCAGAAAATAAAGGCTTTAGAATGAGTGTTCAGGGCTCTATCCCATGAGATTCAAAGTCATTGAAAGATTTGTGGCATGCTTTGTTTTGTTTCTGGTAATATAACTCAAAGGCCACTCTCACAAGTGTTTTGAGGATAAACCATTTAGGACCTGCCAAAGGCAGATGCTCTTATAGTAATTGAGACAAGAGAGAGGGTGGCTTTGGGTCAAAGTGGTAGCAGAGAGATGGTAAGAGCGAGTGACAGTTCAGGGACATGTGGAGCTCAGTCCAGCAGAGTGTGCCAACAGGTTGGATGTGAGGGTTGGCTCATAATGACTCCATAGTTCGGTTCTAACTGGATCGACAGAGTCAGAACTTCCTGAATTGTTACAAAGACAATGGGGACAGGAATAATGTAAGAAAGACTGGGTGTCTTGTTGTCTCTGAGGAAAGTTCCTTATGTAGCTCAGGCTGACCTTGAACTCATGATCCCCCTGCTTCAGCCTCCCCAGTGCTGGAGGTTACAGGTGTGCACCATGCACCACCACAGTAACTAGGGTTGGATTTAAATCGGTATAGTTTGGTATGCTTTCTGGACATCTGATTGGTGATGCAGAACCGAGCAGTTGTGTGCAGGAGTCTGGTTGTAAGGGGAGGTCTGGCTTAGAAACACAACTACGTGAGTTTGCAAGGTCACCCTCACAGTGAGAACTCAAGGACGACGTGAGCACCTGGAGAAAACAGAAACTCAGGGACATTCCAGCAGTGTTTTCAACACTTTGCAAGGACAAGTTCACTGAATTCCTATAACAACTCCCAGAAATGGATGTTGTTTATTTCCCCCTTTTACAAATCATCAAACTGAGGCACAGAAATGCTGAGGAACTCAGTCATGCTGGCAAGCAAGCGACTACTAAATGGTACCTCGGCATTTCCAACTACACTCTATGCATTCAGAGCTCTTGCTAGAGATGAGATGCCATCTACAGGCTTGAGCCTCAAGCCCCATACAGTTGGACATAAACAAGGTGAGGCCAAACAGAATGTCTTAGAACACGGGTCAGAACTTTACTTTGCACAAGGAATCCTACTCACGTTCAGAGAGAGTGAGTGCCATTGAAACTAAGTAAAACCAAAACATTGTTCCCTTTGAAGTGAAGAGAATTGTATAAAATAATAGAGGAGGCAGTCTCCTCTTAAACCTGCTTTCAGTGGGTGCATGCCACTCAGTTCACAGCCCAGCTCAGTGAGAAGCGGCAAGCAGCACACAGAGACACAAAGCTTCTGCTTTGCCTGGGAATATGGGTAGCGTACATTTCCCCTCCAGACCTTGAGCAATCCTCAAGAGTAAAGGGGAGGATGACAACGAAACCCAGACGGCTGCTTTAGGCTAGGACAGTTCTATGCACACCAACAGTGTGTACAGGGGCCCTGAGTACTGTTTCATGTTTGTTTGTTTGTTTGTTTGTTTGGTTGGTTGGTTGGTTGGTTGGCTTTTCGAGACAGCGTTTCTCTGTGTAGCTTTGGTGCCTGTCCTGGATCTCACTCTGTAGACCAGGCTAGCCTCGAACTCACAGAGATCCACCTGCCTCTGCCTCCCAAGTGCTGGGATTAAAGGCATGCGCCACACTGCCTGGCTAAATACTGTTTTCTTAGTGACAGTGTTGGTATGAATACAAGGGCTCAGATTTACTGGCTTTTCACAAACACCAACCATGTGGCTACCTTCGTGTTCCTCCTTTATGGGCCACTGACAACACAGCTGTTGTTGTTGTGCTGTTTTGTTTTCTAACTACTGTAAAAACAAACTGCATGTCACTTGTGGGTGTCAACAGGTAGTCATTAGAGATGCTGCATTGGGGACTCCACAGCCCTTCGGAAAGTGAAGAGCACGGCTTGTTCCTGGTGCTTTGACTATCAATGCCACAGTCCAAGGATTTGGACAGAAATACTGAAAAATTTAAATGAAGCTGAAATCTGACTGGAAATCACTTTACAGATTGACTAGCGATAAACCCGTTCAGAAAGTTTCTTCATTTCTAAGCTTACCTAAGTAAACTAGAAAAGGGGTGGGGGATCTAAGTATTCACTGCGCTTTCCAAGCACTTGTAGTGTTACATAAAGAACAGCCTTGGTGTGGTACACGCGAAAACGGAACAGCAGAAGTGAAACACACAGGGTGTACTGTACCTTGTTTTACCTGTGAGGAACACACACCTGGCAAAAGGCGATTTTCACATCCAAGGTTGGTTCACTGCAGTAGTACAAGAAATGGAGGCTCATAAATACCTACAGGAGACAAAATTGGGTGATAAGTTTCCGAGCCACTAACTCTTAGTTATTTAATAGCATAGATTTTATAGTCATCTGAGTTATAGACAAGAGATCTTAAATAGCACATATGCACCACAGGTCTCACCCATATCTATACTGAGTACCTTTCACAAATTATAAATATTACACAAGACAAAATGGTAAAATATTTTATGTTCTATGATGATCAATGTCATCATGGTCATATATATTAGATATAATAATTGAATATTCCTAATAAGGCTAAATACAAAATTTATGTAACACTTTTAGTGCTGGGCATCTAATTGAAAAAATATCAAACGTATGCTCAAGAGGATGTGTGTGGAAGTTTATTGTAGAATTCTACGTTCGTTACAGTTCAGAATGGCATGCTCACCATAGACTCCTGTGCTGGAGACCTGGTCTCTACTACAGCAGTGTTCAGGTACCTGGACCATGATGGTACAAACCTAATAAATTAGTGAGTCCTCTGGTGGAACCACAGCTGAGTGGTCTGCTGAGGGTGTGGAAACTCAAGGTGGTGGGGCTAGTGAGAGGACAGACGTCACTGGGGTGTGCTTCTCCAGGCTCTGTCTTGTTCCCTGTCCTTCACTCACTCACTTTCCCTGCCTCCCTGTCCACCACATGCTCCCTGCCCTGATGTTCTTCCTCCTGGACTAACACCTCTCAAATGGTGAGCCAAAATACATATCTCCATTGAAATGTTATTCGTGGGTATGTAATCTCAGTGACGGGAAACTGATGGAATACTAGGAAGCGAACTAAAATATGTAATATAACTATAAAAGATGTAGAATCATTAGATTCTAATTTAATGTATAAATACAGATAAAATCTTCCAACGTGCTTTGGGGGGAAGCAAGTTTGAAGTTCCCTTATTAAAGATTTAAGATACACAAAAATAATAGCACTCATTATTTTAAGTACATATAACTATAGAACAAAGAAAAGTGGGCACTCTATTAATATCTGTTTGATCTCAGTGGAAATTAAAAAGATTTAATTACACTATTTTCTGTGGATTTGAAATATTTAACAACTCTGCAAGATTGCAAGAGGAGGAGAATGTTAAGGCAATGCCAAATGAAGGCCTGAATCCTTGGTAATGATACAGCATCAGAAGAACCCTGCAGCTTCACCAATTTAATTAAACATATTTTTGAACATCATCGCATGCAAGGTAACATTCTGTGAGATCAAAGGATTTAAAACCAAGCACGGATGTAAGACTTCTGTTTCTGGCATATGATTGATTAGGTATCCGAAAAACCACTCTGAAATCAAAACTCCTAAAAAAACATCTTAGGTGAGAGACGTAAAAGACTTTAAGATTCATAGCTAAGCTTTTCAAAGGGACAAGAAAGGTTCTGAGAAGCAGAGAAAGTGTACAGGGGCCACACAGAGACACCCAGGAGCCAGAGATGCTGCTTGGCCCTCACTACCTGCCATCCCTGGTAACCAGATTTTCAGGTTTTAAAGAGAATACTCAGAGTACAGTGAACACACATCTGTCCACCTGGGTGGGAAGTGACATTGAAGATAAGTGTAAAAACCTTGCGAGAGGAAATTTTAAACCAACTTCATGAGGAAGCAGAATAAACCAAAGTGAGGTCAGAGTTGATAGAATCTTGTTTAGTATTGGACTTTGATATACATACATCTTATCTTTCAAATAAGGAAGAGTAAAAGGATTTTTTAAAAAAAAAAAAAGTAGACCATCCATGAATAGAGAAAAGTCTGGGTATTTGTTTGGATGTGGGAGAGAGAAATATTCTAGTAGATATGAAAGTATAAGATTATTATAGAAGTTTGGTATCAATTAACAGAATAAGGAGCATAGAAAGAAATAGATCCATGCATGGAGACCAGATTACATTAAGGTCTACATTTTAGATATCTGGGGAAATGAGAAACTGTGTTGAGTCATGAATGTGACAACTGGTCATTCATGTGGGAAGAAAGTCAACCCCTATTAGAAGACAGTTCTGTATGGGACTCTTGCATTTGTGTGTGTTTTGTAAACAGAATCCCTGGCTGCTTTTGTTCCAATCTCAAGGAAGGTTATACAGCAGACATGCTTGGAAGATACATACAGCACCTCCCTCTTAGACCAAAGAGGAGATCCAATCATACTATAGTATAATAAAAACTAGAGAAAGCCTTGGATATGAGTTAGACATGATTCTTATCTGTTATAAAGGACTTGAGGCTCCTAAGATTAATGTTCCTCTGCAATATGCAGCCTGAAGTGTGTGTGATAATTCTCCAACCTGCCTTGCATCACTCTGTGAACTGAGGCCAAGAAGCTGTTCTGAATGTTGACACTCTAGCTTCTGGCTGATGGTACTGCTGTAAGTAGCAAAGGCCTGTATTGGATCAGAGAACCTTGTGTCATCTGCCATTATCCATGAAATGATGGAAAGCCAGCTTAGAAGCTTGCACGTGGGTTATACCTCAGATTCTTTAGAAGTCTTAGGAACTTCTATATATATTTGTATATAACTCATGTTATATAGAAGAAAAAATCCAGATAGGTTAAAAACCTCAGAAAGGCTCAAATTTTAAATATTACAAGTTGCAAATATTCCAGAAGAAAATACAATTGAATGTCAGAGACATATAAATACTATACAGATACACTAAAGTATAAAGGAAATTATTACTAAATAGTATTAAATTTAGTAAGTTTATTTATGAAAAGATCTAGTGAGTTTTTTTTTTAAAGTAGACCACAAATCTGGAAAGGTATTTAAAACACACAGCCAATGGAAAGTTTAGTTAGAATTTATATAGAACTTTAAAAAAATAATCAAGCCAAACTCAGAGAATCCAGCAGGAAAAAATGGACTAAACAAATTAAAAATACTTCATAGAAAAAATGCCCATAAATACATTATGTATAATATAAAACCACCATGAAGTTGTATCTGATACTGATCAAATGACCTGAAGCTGAGAAGAAATTCTCCAGTATCCACAGGGAGAGCTGAGCAAAAGCCAGTTTTCATGCGCTTGGAGAGCTATGCAGTCAGAAATGAATTCAGGAGAAATACAATTACTTCCTAAAGTCGTGCACAATGTACAATACAACAAATCCCTATGCACGCCCATTCTTGAGAAACTATTGTGTTTTTTCCTCAGGTTATACACACACACACACACACACACACACACACACACACACGAGGACTCACTCCAATATCTCTGCATCAGTAAAGTAAGTAACAAAAACTAAAACTTGAAAAGTACACCCACCAGCAGAACAATGAAGAAGTTCTGTTGTTTAGTAGAATTCAGTGTGACTATGAAAAGGACATTTAAAGTGACCATTCGTCAGCACCCCCAAATCTCTTCAAACACTGACTAAAACATTTCATTTAGGAAATGTAGAAACTGCAGAGTTCAACAACTTGGAGGGATTTTTACCTATAACCGTAATGTAGTTATGGACTTATTTTTTTTTTTGCTCTGTACCTCCCCTCAGAAATATTTTGTGCTTTATATGTATGGACCCAATATAAAGTTCTTTCTTAAACATTGCTATTTTATGCAGCTATGACTGGTTCATTTCCCAAATGCTTATTGCTAAACATGGGGCTACTTTCTGTGTGTGACCACATAGCCTACAGATCAGTGCGTTAACGTATCAGGCCTGGTGTCTTGTGGATTGGACTTTGCTTATATAGAAAAGGAAGGCGGTTTTCACTTTCCCTTGCCCTTCTGCGGCTCCTGCCTTGTTCTTCCTTGCTGGGAGGCTCTCCAGTCGAATGGGTTTCCTCCAAATTGAGACATTTCCTCCATGGGCATAGGGGGTCTTGTGGGACTGAAGGTCAACAAAGGTTAGAGACTGGAAAAGTGAAAACATGCAGGGTTGTGGCCAGCCCTCCCCAGCTGTACAGCAGAGTCAATAACTACTGAGAGAGACTGGACCAGCCCAAGCATAGATGTGTTGCATGGCGCCCTGCCACTTCTCGGACACGAGTTTATGTAATCCTGTCAATACTGTTCATATGTTTGCTTCAAGCAGATTATGACTTCCTCCAAGGAAATGGCTAATTGTACTTATCACAACCCCAGGCTCTAACACTGTTCTTTGTATTTGTCTGATGTTAAGTACATGCTTATTGAATAAAAGGGGATCCAAATGAAAAACTGACAAGACAAAAAAAAAAAAAAACTCTTTCCTTCTCTGGCACAAATCTAAGTATTTCCATTGTCTCTTCAAATGGAGGGCTGTAGATGTTCAGTCAAGTTTGTGGTAATGGTCTGGAAAAGGAGTTTAGAGCGATCTAAAGGATTCTCATGGGGATGGCTGTTGATGTAATAAACAGTCTTATTAAATAAGAAACACAGAAACAATGTAAAAGAGAAAGTCGAGAGGTCAGAGCTCAGAGCTAAAATCTCACCCTTCCGCCTGCGGTGTCCCAGCTTCCCAAAAGAGAGCTATATCCTGTCTGTTCGTTTCTTTTATAGTATGTTGTTCTGCCTTCTCATTGGTTGTAAACCCAAACACGTGACGGCCTCATCACTGTCTGAATGTACAGCCTCCTAGGTCTTAAAGGCATATGTCTCCAATGCTGGCTGTATCCCTGAACACACAGAGATCTATGGGATTGAAGGCGTGTGCCACCACCACTACACTCTTGCTATGGCTCTAATAGCTCTGACCCCCGGGCAACTTTATTTATTAACATACAATCAAAATCACATTTCAGTACAATTAGAATACCACCACATTTCCCCTTTTCTATTTTAATAAAAAGAAAAAAAAGCAAAAGGTTATAACTAACAAAAGAAAAACTATATACAAAAGTACAATAACTATATACAATATATACAAGTAATAAATACCTAAACAGGTATTTGACAAATCAGAGAAAATAATTCCATTATCTATCCTATTTTGGTAAATCCAAGATGTATCTAATGCACTTTCTATCCTAATTAATTTTCAACTATAACTAACTAATCTT